TGTCCTATGTATGATTTGGTATTTTATAAACATCTGGTGTTTGAATTTCCAGCATTTTATTCTTTGAACTTCAAAATATTGATCCAATTATTATACTTTGCTTAAATACTATATTATTAATTATTTTGAGTTAATTCACCATTCTGAAGACGCGGTCATCTGTAACTCCTTCGTATAGGTGGTAACAATATTATTCATTTTCTTGATATCTTTTTTTTTAAATTTAATTTTCTATAGTGATTGCCAGATTTTGGATTGTTTATGTATTATCTCCGAATTTTTGTATTGATTTACTAATGTTCGCTAGTGTATATTCCTTGTTTTGAAGTGCTTGCCGTAAGTATATGTTTTTCTTCTTTTAGGTGTTGATTGTCAGCTATTATTACATTTTATATGGCCATTGTGTGTAGTAAACCCATTTTTTGTATAAGACAATGCCCTTCTACGTGCAAATACACATCGGTATGCGGCTACTTACTGTACCAAAATTTCCTTTTGGGATTTTCTTGACTAGCACGTTAAAAAAATGGAAGGAAGGAAGGAAATGAAGTGTTGAAATCCTACGGCAGTTTTGCCGTAATGTACGTATTGCTTTTGATAAATCAATTTTCATAAAATAATTTTAATACAACTATACAAAAAAATGTTTAAATACTCGTTTGTTATGCGCGGCATAATCTATACTATTGTTAGAATGTAAACCTATTTCTTTGTTATTATATTTGTATCATTGTCTTAAACCATCTCATGATGTCATAGTTGCGTCTATGAGGCCCCTTAATTTATATGATTAATACAATTATATTGTAATCAAATACAATTTACTGTTTTAAATATAAACTATTTATTGTGCTAATAAGTAATAACTACATAATTTTAAACCTTACTCCTTAGATAATATATAAAAATAGAAAATATTTTTATACCATTAATTGGCCAAAAACCACAATCTACTTTCACGGTGACTCGAAGTAAAGGCATTTGACGAACACCGTACTTGTTGCTAGTCTATATTTTATTTGAGCTTAACCGCTTTTCCGTTATTGTCCTAGTCTTGTTAATATATCTTTTTTTTGTTTTTGGCTCGTTTTATAGCTATTTTATTTTTAAAATGAGCCAGACGGTGTAGGCTCTTGAGTCTTGTCATCTCCTCTCTGTCATACATACATACACACACAAGAATTATAATGTTGACGACGGTCAGTGTTCTCTCCTGTCTCGCCGGTCGCTGGGGTGTTGCACATTTTATATAAAACAGAGATACACACACAAGCACATAAAACCGTCAGTATCAATTATAATAATTGTTGTTATTATTATTTTTATTGCGGCTAAGTTGAGTTACGACTTGTGCGGCAATATCGTGTGAAAATAACACTATTCGTCTTTGTACCTTTCGTCTTCTCTAGGGACGTTTTTAATAATACCCTAATATCTGGCACCATACAACGGTGCTGTTGCCTATCCATCAATTCTGTTGTGACTCGTGGTTGTACGGTCATAGATGATCGGACGATGCATTTAATTGTGTAATTTTAGACGTTAAAATAATTTTGGTAAAACATTGTAATATGCCATCATTTAAATACCAGGACGGATTGACTACAATGTATCCTAATGGGTTTGGGCTAACGAAAAATAAAGAGTGCCAACGTAATAACGAAATTATTAGAAACACAAGAAATTCATTAGGAAAAATATAGCTCGAACGTTTTTGAAATGAACATACAATATATAATACGCTTAGTTATTATTTTAAACACAACCCGGAAAATAAAAATTATATAAGAAAAACATGAAAATACTCAATTAAACGAAGTGATAATACTTAAGAACTATTTAGTAAACAAATGTTTTTATCTGTAAAAGGATAATACAATAATCATAGTGTATTATGTCTCCCAAAAGACAAACAATTATTTTAATGATTTTCAACATTTTTTCTTCGTTAAAAAAGGTACAAAACTTACTTTTATAAGCATTGTAAAATTGTTAAAATATAAAAAATACTAGTAATTAATGTTAATCTATTTTGGGAAGGTTTTCATTTCATTCATAATTTATATTATTATTTAAATTATGCAATTCACGGTAAAATATTTTTGGAACAAAACAGTACGTATTTTCATATCTAACTTTATCGAAAATTACAATACTTGAAATATCTAAATTATTATAAATATTAACAAATAAATCTAAACACAGCTGTTCTACAGTGAACAGTATATTAATTATCTTTAAAATTATTATTGCAACACACATAGCTACACAATACAATAGTTCTAATAAAAAATAATAATAATTGTTTCTTCTGTGTGATACGATTCTGAATACATGTGATAGGTTAGTACTAACCTTACTTACATAATGTGTTTGCAAGGAGCAAACAACCCACTTTATCCCTGAATTCAATTACTGGTCACTTAGAACGAAGATGTATTGGTAACTGTTAACGATTAAGTATAAACATTTTATACTTAAAATGTTAATTTTATAGATATTAGACTTACGAATTTATTCTTGACTCAAGATAATTTTGTATTCAAAATAGCATCGCGACAGCTGTTGATACTTTATAGTGTATTTGTTGCAAACAATTTCAAGTCAAGTTGTTTGCACATTAGATATTAATAACGACCAGATTATAATATTATGTAGGTGCCTACAGTGTGTAAAAAACGACACACGTCAGTAAGAAAAACGCGGTCACCCATCCAAGAACAGCCTACCCACGCGCTTAGACTCGACAGCCAAAGCGTACACGTGGAACCAGTTTCCTTATATTCGTCCTGCGCATGTCTGCGTTTATAGAAGAGCCTTTAATCGTATACAAATACATTATTTAACAGTATACAAATAAGTTTTTTTTATCCACTTTTTAAAATATGCCTACTTGTATCATGTACGACTTGGTCGTGTACATGACCGGAGCAAATACACATATGTACATACCTATACAGTGACACATACGGTGCGACACGATAACACCGGAGTTGTTGAGTTAAAGAACATTAATTTAATATATTTTTTTTTTGTGAGTAAAAACGATTTTTCATTCAAGTTGCCAAGATACATGGATTGTATACGAGACACACATGTTTGCCGTAAATCAATAAAAACTCAAAGTATGTTATAAACATTGTGCACTCGTTTTTGAGATATTATGGCAATTGCACGTTGTAAAGTTATATCATAAAGTATAAACATACATTAAACAAGAATGTAAAGTAAACCGAAGACTCAAGATTGGAAATCTTGCAAATTATTGCTTGTCACTAAATTATGAATACATTTTTTTCCAGTTTAGAATGAGAATTTTAAATTTTATTGGGGAAAAATCGCTAAGGTTTATAATTGAATGTCTTTATTTCAAATTCCTATTTGACTCTAAAGCCCTGTCACCACGGAATACTAAATGGAATGGCGACTGTATTAGTAAAGCAGAAAGTATCCATTAAATCCTAAAATAGAATAATAGATGAATGGTTTGATTAAACGAATATATACGATCTCAATATTATGTATACACAACAGGTTATACAAGTTCTCTATTTTGACATTTTAAGCTCGGCTCAAAATGTAAAAGTGGATCAGCACTAATGAATTTGCTACATTTCAATGCGATGGCCTGCCGTTGTTGGTTGGATCAATTTAGAAATAGGAAAATAACTATAATCGAAAACCATCCGCTCGCAATTATAAATTATCGTTATACTACCTATTCATATAGGTTTGTTGAAATTTGTATTCCTCTCTGTCGTTTATACTGGAAACTTTATATAGATTAATAGTTAAACTAGTTTTGGATAGCGTGTGATTAGCATAAATAAACTATACAAAAAATTGAGTACAAATTTGAATTTGTATGCATAAAATATTAGGATAAACCAATGCATAAATCATTTAGTGACTAACCGGGAAAATGATAACTATAGAATACATATATATATATGTATGCTGCTGTGAGATAAAGAGCTTCGTATTTTTTCATAATACAGAACAAATAATTTTACTTCATACACGGGGTTGCAGCCCGTCACAGTGAATAGAATTGAACTCTATAGAAATACTCATAAATATTTCCATTAGGATAATAAACATTTTTAGTTCCACTAACAAAGACTTGTTGTTAAGATTATATGTGAACGTACGTATTGATCAAAGGGAGTAAACACGCCCAAACACATTATTTTATATCACTATTAGGCTATTTACACTAATGAAAACAAATTGATTATTTTTGTTGTTGCGCTAAAAAATTATATTTCAGGTAAAGTAGAATAATTATTTTAATGAAATATCTAATAGGTGATGCGGAAAGCAAAAAATGGCATTATGTCGAAAAAGTAGATTTCGAAAAAAACGCCAAAACATTGATTAAAGCCTTATTAAGTATCAATGAATACCTTAGACTCTCTTATGGTTAGGATGTAGATCAAAACATCGAATAATAGCCAAAGTAACAAAATTAATGCAATAACTTGTTAATTTTTTAGCTACAAAAATGTTCCGGGTTTAAAAATAGTAAAAAGTTAATCAGGACTCAGAAAATAGACCATACACATTTGATACTTAATATAAGGTAATAATAGTCAATATTAAAAATATGGCCAACATTTGTTGCTCATTATTATTATTTACAATTGTTAAAGTTGCTAAGATATACTTCGCATTAAGTTTTTTTATTTTTGTGGCTGAACCCAGGATACAATATAAACCACTAAACCAATTACTTCGTGTAATCTAAGAACAGATTTGGTTCTAAAAGATATTTAATTCGGCCAAAAATTAAAAAAGTTCACCCCTTAACCTTCAAAATTGAAGTTTTTAGTTGTGATTTTATCACTTTCAGTGATAACAATAGTTAAAAACCTGTGACTTCTCCGAACACACTGTGCTGTTTTTTTAATTTTATATTTAGAGATTATGATTAAAAAAATTGAAGATAATATGTTTTTATTTGTGTTACGTAATTGTAAATATTGGTATTTGATACTCACGCATCAGGTTAGGTATTTTCTAGTAAATTGTATTATTCATTTTTCGCTGTATTAAAATTATACTGACCTGAAAAAAGAAAAAAATATGTTATTTAACAAATAATTATTTAAGCGTAATTTTCCATTATAATTAATACTTGAATACAAACAGGTATTATTTAAAATTTATCGCCATTGAACATGTAGTTGGGAGGGTAAGGCGAAGATGAAGAAGAAGGAGAAGATTAAGGACAAAGTAAATTTAAATTAAATACATTTAAAAAGCACACGAGATTCATGTATGAATGTTATTATAATTAAACAAAATATGAATAACAACTGACATATATATTTATATTTCATAGTCTATACACTATTATACATATATTAGCACTTAATATTTTTTTCAAAAAAGTTTTTTAAAGGAAATGTATCATATAAGAGGACGCAACACTTGCTATAATATTAGTTTATTGGGGTTCAGTATATAGGCGATTTTTTGTCAGACTCATAATTGGAAACTATATCTGATTGTAAACACATATCAATGGATAATTGTGTTTTTAATAAATTCACCATTGCACATCACATGATTAAAATCATAATCAACCTGATGTATATGAGTTAAGTACATAAAATTGGGGAATTAAAACCTGCATGAAGTGAGTCATAATGTTATTACATTAACTAAAAATTGAGGATTTAAATTTGATCCACGGTAAAAACCTTACACTTTTTAAACTGTTGTAATTTTTGTATACGCGTCAAGTTTATATAGAATTAAATAATTAAAAACCAAATAACTTTGTTATGCTAATAGTATTAGGACTCCATTTAATGTAATTTGAATTTTACTCGAACAATGAAGTACATAAAATGGTTTACAATTAGAGTTAAAACTTTCATGTTTATCAAAATGTATGAATACAACATTTTACTATTGTTCTATTATCTATATCATTTTTATAACACCTGCTTTTATTTTTTTCTATAAAAGTTTATGATATGTAACTAGTAATTATTAGACTTTATAAAACTTGAAATGTGTATTATGGCCAAGCTAGTTTACAAACTTTATTATTTATATGACATATTTGTTATTTAAAGAGAAGAACGTTTGTTTTAGAACCTTTGGGCTACACAATACTTTATAATACTTTTCTAATTCATTTATTAGTAATTAAGTATAATTAGTATAATATTAAAAATTATAGGTAAATGGCGTACCTATATTTGTCAAATTAAAAGGAAACATATAATTTAATTACCTTATATAAATAAGTTAACTAAAAAATGTAGTTGGATATCTTGTTTAAAAAAAAAAAAATGTTTCTATTTCTGATTAAATCAATTTTCTATCCTACAAAATTAGATAACCTACTTAAGTTTTTCCGGTTTTCTACAAGTGAGCTTTAGTTAAAGAAATACTAAAATAATTATAAACTAGTGTGATACACCATTTTAAATTTACTTAAATGATTAATATTAGTTTTAAAACATTTCAACAAATATTGCAAAATTTTGAACACAGGTTACAAACTGATCAACATATTAAGAAATTATATTGAAATTACTTTTTCCTAAAAGTTTACTCTCGTAGAAGTCACTTTTCAGACGGATTTCATTTTTTTTTATACATATAAGCTTACAACAGATTTGATGAGGTCTAAAAGGCCAATATTTTGTTTAGATTAACTATTTTAGATTAACTGTAAAAAAGGAAAACAATTTTAAAACTAGAAACGCAGTTTTCAGTACAAAAATTAAAAGTAAGCTGTTTAGCCCCCGTATATAAGATATAATAAAAAAAAATTAAATCCGTTTCCTACATATCTTTGAAGATGATTTTGCATTTACCCTTTAATTATATAATCTATTTCCGTTCACCTTAATTTAAAAAAAAACGTATTTAATATTTTATACATCACAGAAAAATGTAAATCAATGTAAATATTGTTAATATAATACTGATAGTATATTATAATATAATGCAAAATGTATATAATGTAAATTTATCCTAATGTTGTTGAAATGTTTTAGTGCATCGTGTGTGGCATTAATTTTGTAATCGTGTGTTGGGTAGTATGAGAAAAAAAATAATAAGAAAAAAGAGGATATTTTTGTTTGTACGATACGAAACAATAGTAGTTGAAAAATATTCATCGTAAGCCGTTTCTGGATAACTCCCACGAACAGTTTTTCGCCTATACACGCTGTTTTTATTCCTGGTACACGGTTTTACCACAATATTATTGTGTCGGTAAGACAATGTGCGTGCTGAAAATTTTGACAGATAGTAGCCTAATAAAACGAACAGAAAAAACAGGTCTATTTTTTTCGCCATTAATGAAAAATGCAAAGTAAGGAAGGTGAAAAAACATATTTTATTGTTACTTTAAATTGTTTCGTTTTTTTTATTGGACGCATTGTGTTTAGCTAAAATGGTATCGTGTGTTTCCCTAGCACAACAAATCGTAAGTGTATAGTTTTATGAGTGACTTATAAACGCGCTTCATGCGTTTTAATATTTGTTTACTTCAATTCCGACGTTAGCTGTTGCAAATAAAATATACGATGAATTAAAAAACGATAGAACTTATTAGTAGAGCTATAGAGACTTTTGGATTATTGAAATTATACAGAATGATAGAGCACAATACATGGTAGCATTGTTTATTGTATGTTTATAATTTAATCGTTTAAAATTAAAATTTGATTAATCAATAAATCTTGCTTAATAGTCAATGTTAAACATTTAAAACAGTGGATAGTTTCCAAATGGCGGTTTTTTTAAAAATGTTATCCTAAAATAGTATCTTTCAGATACCATTTCCGAGCATTAGAATTGCTACATGAATGAATCGGCTTAGTGGTTTGAAAGATATCGTGAGTTCAGACATCAAAAGTGAAAACACATCCCTCTAAAACCAATACCCTTTCAACTCCACAAAGAAGCTAAAAATGATTTCTTAACACTTATACATATATAAAAAAATTGTTCAACTATAATGTAGTGTCAGAATACTAAATTATGTAAAATTACGTATAATAATAATTGAAGGAGAAGAAAAAATATATATTTTATGTCATGTTTGTAGTTTACTAATAGAAATAAAAATGCATAGTGTGAAATATACCTATCTTTCATAATAACCTTATGAACTTAAGATTTGAAATGGTAAAATTCATAGTTTAATAACTTTTTAAATGAAGAACAATTTACTGAAATTTTCAATTGGATTTGAATAATCAGTTTTGGATAATTATTTTTAAAGTTATTTAAGTTAAAGATTTTGACGAGAGGAAAGAAAGAGAGAAGTGTTATTGTTATCAGCGCGTTATTATTCAAATGCACTCTACCTCCCGTCCTAAAATTTGTACTTAATAATTTTTAAAGTAATTACTCAAAACTGGTTATCGAACAGTTAAAATTTTTAGAAAATTATTTTAATTTGTTGAAAGTTAAGACAATTTACAGAGTGATTATTAATTTTTAACAGTCAATATCTTATTGGGTTTAATTATTAATTGCATTTGTTTTTCATAGTGTTTTTATATGATGTGATCTCAATTTCTCACAATTTTTTATGTTCCTACCCTCCTCTTAAACTTATTATTTCTATAGCAACTTTTAAAACTAAATGGTTTTAAATTAAGAATAAATGTACTAAACATTTTGACTGGTCGATAACTAGTTTTGGATAACATTTTTTATTTTATTGAAGTTTTAAGTTTAAGGCAGGGGGGAAGGTGGAGTGTAGTATTATTTTTATTTGCGCGCACTTCCCAACCGCACTTTCCCTCCTGGCCAAACTTTTAAACCTTTATTATAATATTAAAATTAGTTGTTCAAAACTGGTTATTAACCAATTAAAATGTTTAGTATATTATTCTCAATTGAAAAAGTTAATAAAATGTATACTTTATCATGTAAGCTTTAAAAGTTGCGATTAAAAAAAAACTAAGTTAGAAGAGGGTAAAAACAAACAAATTTTGAAAAATTAAAATAACATTGTATAAAAACAATTTGAAGAAAAAAAATGTCTTATTACACCGTATGAGATATTGAGTGGTTCACAATAAAATGATCACCTTCACCCTGAATACTTTATCATAAAAAATAGTATGTTCGTAGGGTTTTAAAACAAACAAATAATTATATTGTTGAAAAATATATCAAATCAGGCTAACATTTTTTAACATCAAAAGTATATATTTTAAGATAATGACTGGGTAACTAACCAATCACTCTGTATACACTTTTAAGATTTACCCTTTGAAACCAAAAGTATAGCATTGTAAATTATTAGTTTAATGTGTGTAGTGTTCGCCACTGTAACGACTTTTTGAATGAGCTACCTACTGTACGTTATGTTTAAAAATATTATGAACTGTTTTTTCTGAACATAAATCTTGTAAGTATACGGCAATAAAATTAATATGTGTATCAACATATATGTATATTATACAGCGTACTGTTGTATAGTTTATAAATTTGTGTTATAAATTATATATTAATATATTGTAGGGTTTTAAAATAATGTAATATACGTACTTACTATATGCATATATCGTTAAGAATTGGGCCATACATAATATTAAGTAGACAACGCACATTTAAACTGTGTACTTTCAAAACAGTTACTATAGCATTAATATATTTTATAAAAGCAACAACCATGAAAGAGGCTGAGCTTTAATATAAATGAAAACTTATTTACTACATTTTTATCATTGATTAGTTAGTTAGTGAATGTATAATATAAATTATAGTAAAATGTATTATGTATTTTTGTTTACTTATATTTCACGGTCAATATACCGTAATATATACATACAAAGCAGTAAATCCTATTTTTTTTTTCGTGGATGATACCAGCTGTTAAGTACTACATTTTTAACATTGTTTAGCTGAACTGAAGCAATTTGGGCTCTGTTATCACCCCGTCGCCGTTGAACTCAAATTTCAGTCAAAATCCTAATTTGAAAAGTGATTTGTACTCGTAAACAACTAGTAAATGCAACATTACAACGGTTAATCTCAAAAGGTTATGGTACCATAGTTTTTAGAGATATTGATATTCGCTC